ATGGATACTTTTTGACTCATTACTCTTAAACCATCTAACCAATTAGTGTTTGCTTTTGTCTTGTGTAGGTTCACTAAGAACCTCTCCCCGGATAAGATCAACCTGAGCACGCTGAGAGGAGAGGGTCAGCTGTCCAACCTGGAGCTGGACGAGGAGGTCCTGCAGAACATGCTGGATCTGCCCACCTGGCTGGCCGTCACCCGAGTCTACTGCAACAAGGCTGCTATACGGGTATATGAGAGCCTGGAGGAATTATTATTATCATGCTAAATAGTTAATAGGAAATTATCACAAAGATATTTAAACAAATTCAGTGTTATTTAAGTGTGTGTGTGTGTGTGTGTGTGTGTGTGTGTTTTTTCTCTGTCAGATACAATGGACAAAGTTGAAGACCAGTCCCATATGTTTAGTAAGAATCTCCCTATCAATGTGTTTCCCCTCTTGCATCATTTTTCTTCTCTCGGTCACATTCTGTCATCCCCCTGTTTATCACATGATCTCCTTTCTTTTTTCACTTCTGCAAAAGTACCCTTGTATCAGTATTGTGCTTTTCACTCAAATGCTACCGCGTCTGATAAGGTGGGTCAAATAGAGTCCAACAGTGACTGCAGTCTTTTTCAGGGGCTTGGTATACAGACCATTTCTCCTTAGTTTTAGAATTGAAACATAAGCAAAATCATAACAGTTGATTTAAAGCAAAAATATATGCAAATATAAAAATATAGGAGAATGAATGAACGACTCTTGTAAACCATTGCAAACGATATGGTTGAATAATTCTGGGTATTTTTTAACCCTCCTAAATGCATTCAGGTCTATTTTAAACTGGAGGAGATGTACAGAAATAATTTAAAAAGAAATGTGTGCAAAACCACATTATGCAAATGCAATTTTTTTATTAAATGTAGTTTTCAAGATTTTTTAAAAAGATATAACCATTAAAAATAAAGTTTCAAAAGCTTCTCTGTTCGTGTCTATTTTGACCCGGGTATTAAGTGAGGCTTAAACATGATCTTATGCAAACATTACTTACATGAGTTACAGTAGATTTTTCTAAAGTATATTTAGCCTTTTTTCCCCCCGTATCTTACACATGCACTACATTTTATGGATAAACATGAAAATGCACGCCTATTGATGAACAATTGCAGCATGGAAACTTGATCAAATTTTTAATCTTAAATTTAAAGTGTTCTTATAAAATGATGTCTTCAAATATACATTCTCATGATGTCTTTTTGCATGTCAGTGGTTCTTCTGTAGATCATGTAAAATTTCCAAGAATTTCTTCATTTAAAAATAATTTCTAATGAAAAGTTGGTAAACGTAGTAATAACATAATAACATTCAAAACTTTGAGATGAGAAATTATTAATCGGATACAATAGTTTTGTTGTTTTATGTGCTTGTGTTCTACTGAATTCAAAATTTGTATGCAGATTTTGAATGCATTATGATGGTTAATGCTCTACCATTACAACATCCCATATTAACTAACATTATATTGTTAACTAGTTAAAGTTATCTAATGTTATCTAGATTCCTAAAACATGCTGCTCTGGAGATTGCTGGGAGATTCGTATTTCCATATTCTATAGATCATTCGTGGCTTGAGCATAGTTCATCATAAAGTAGTGACTGACAGCATCAGAAGTTCTGACCTACTGAATTCGGCCTGAACTCTGTTTCCTGTCCTTCTGCAGTTCCTGGATAAAGTAGAAGTTGAAATGAGGACCTGTGAGGAACCCCGGCCCCCAAACGGCCCCTCTCCGATTGCCATTACTGCAGGCCAAAGGTCAGAATGATTTTTCCTTTTAGTAAACCAGATCCACAGTGGTTTTACCTCCCTACGATGTCCTCTCCATCATGCACATTGACATTGAGATTCATTAGTGCTACTCGCTAAGTCAAGCATCAAGACTGTTATTTGTTCAAACCTATAATGCAGAGTAAAGCATATCGCACCATTTGTGCTACAAACAAATGATTCCTCAAATGGTGACCATAAATGAGTAATATTAAATATTTTTAAATATTAAAATATTTTTTAATATTTTTTTTATATTTTCAGTTTACATTTGAATTTTTGTTTTTTTTTGTATTTATTTATTTTTTCATTTTAATATTTAGTTTAAATAATTTTTTGTTGTTTTTTTTATATTTAGATTTAATTTCTTTTTATTTCAGTTTTAGTCATTTTAGTACTTCGACTTAGAAATGTTTCCAAGGCCAAATTTCTCATTTTAAGTTCACAATAGCAACACTGGATTGAAGGTCAGATCCAGTTCTTCATTAGAGTCGGTGTAATGCATGTTTGCGGTCTGTTTCTTGTCTCTACAGTGAGTATGGCTTTGCTGAGAAGGTTGTGGAGGGAATGTCTGTGATCATCAACTCCATCATGATTAAAGTTCAGGCCCGAGCGTTTCACGCCTCCTTTGAACTCTGGCAGCTCCAGGGCTGCAGCCTCAATCCCAAATGGCAGAAGAGCGACCTGCGCTACACGCGCATTACACATCCGAAGAGAGGAGAGGTACAGTACAGAGATACACCGCAGTACCTGTTTTGAAAGTAAAAGCAGGTATATGCTAGGGTTGTGACGGTGAGTCGTGTGACAACATCGGTAATACCAGTATCACCGTTGGGGTGGGGGGTGTTAGTTCATTTGAGTTTCCCTCTTTTCTTCACTTTCAAATGGCTTGTAAAAGTGCTGTGCGAATTTTACTTTCACTTTCAAATTAGCGTCAACTGCCGCAATTCGGCGTCAAGCAATTGTTCGTTTGAGTTTTCCCTCTTTTCCTCGGATTTCTTGGCTTTCAAATAGCTTGAAAAAGCGCCGTGCGCATTTTACTTTCACTTTCAAATTAGGGGCAATTCAGCGTTGATTCAATTCAAGCAACAACAACGTCAAACTCAGAACTTTTATTAACTAAACGAATAAAAATACACCATATAGGCCTAATAAAATAACAAATTACTTGGGCTACACAAAGTTTAAATAGGTATATAAAACTGAAAATCAGCAAACAGTTCTTTATTTATTAGCAAAACGAATAAGAAAGCTTGGAGGCACGGCA